TCCCGAGGGAGTAGAAAAGCGGGGATCCCGTGTCGAGGTCTGTGATGAGCTTAACTTGGGATCGCGCAAACACCCCCCTCGTCTGCTCCTCCTGTAGCCCTTTGAGACGCTCCCTCTTCTCGTATTCTTGGAGAAGAGCAGGGTCCCTGTCCTTGGCGAGGCAACCCTCCAAATCGAGGTCTCGGGCTTCCATGTCGGTGATGTCCGCGTTCTTCAGTCTGGTGCTCCCCCAGGTGTATTTTTGGCACAACAGCCTGGTGTGCACTTTGCCCATATCCCACCACTGGGCCAGAGAGTCGAACTGCGTTTTGGTTTGTCGCCACGCTTTCCAGAAATCCTCGAACATTTCTATGAAGGCGCCATCCCCCAGCAGCGAGTTGTTAAAATGGCAGTGGGACGCGCCCTCATGGGGGCCCTCTCCAGCCTGGCACGGAGCACGATGAGATTGTGGTCCGTGAAGGGTGCCGCCCTCTTAGAGATGTAAAATCTGTCGAGCCTGGACTGCGTCACCAAGCCATCGCGCCTCGTGTACGTGAATTGGCGTTGGCCCGGGTGATGTATGCGCCACACATCCACCAAGGTGGCTTCCTCCAGGAGTCCCTGCATTTCCCTCTTTGGCCCAACTCCCCCCGGCTGCCTCCCCGAACGATCCAGGGCGCCGAGGGTGCAGTTGTGGTCGCCATCCACAATCACGCACTCATCATCAGGGATTCCGGCCAGGTGCCTCCTCAGGAGGTGCAGAAAAGGGATCTTCTCCTTGTTGGTCACCAGTGTGTATACGTTCAGCAGGTGGGCGGTGACATCGCCCACCCTGACCGTTACCCTGAGCAGCCTTTCCTTCACCACTTCGGTCTGGGTGATGAGCTCGGGATGACACCCTTTAGCAAAGAGGGAGGTGTTGTCAAGGTGGCTGTAGAAGGAGTCCCCTCCCCACTCCTTCCTCCAGTCATCCTCGTCCTCGACCGTGAGATGCGTCTCCTGAATGAAGAAGACAGAGGCAGCGTGTTTCCTCGCAAGAGACATTGCGGAAAACCTCCGCATTGCTTGTTCCTTGCCTCCGTGGCCTCCCACCTTGTAATTTGTTTTCGGAAATATCTCAGTTTTGCCCTCTCCTTGCCCCGGGACTCAAGTCCCTGCTTGGCGAGGAGTCTCTCGGCTTGAGTCACAGACGCCTTTATTGCCTTGATGTCTTTCCATCGAGCCAAGGCAATGTCCGCTCTGTCCTTCCTCACGTTGGTCTCGTCGAGGAAGTGCCAGAGATCTTCCGGGGAGACCAGGGAAGTCTGAGGGTCAAGGAGTGTAGACCCCTGGCTGGCTGCTCTCGCTCCCCACGCTGAAGCAGTCGTCCTGATCTGAGTCGACTTCCCCGCCGTCCGGCTCCGCTGGAAGAGCTGCAGCGGCTGGGCTGGCGCATGGCCCAGCGGCGTCCTCTCCCCCAGCGTCAGGGATGGCCTGGGATGGCTCCTGCTCAGGCTCTTCGGGTGGATGGCCCGGTGTCGCTTCCGCTGGTTTTGGGTCAGCAGTGGGACAGGGACCTTCCTCATTCCCATCCATTTCGTCTTCGCCCTTGGTGGGTGTGGTCGATGTCTCTCCACCGACTTCCCCCTCCTCCTCTTGATCGAGGCCGGAGCAAATAGAATTTGTCCTCGCTTCATGTATAGCTGGTAGTCGGGTCGATCTCCGTGGCGATGTCGCCTTCATCGCCCACGGTCTCCTGCTGTGGAAACCCTTCCCCAGACGCACGCTGCTTCTTCCGCTTGGCGGGTTTCTTCCTCGCCGCCCGTGCGTCACTCGGCGTGGCGTCCGGGAAGGCGAAAACCGCGTCTTCGGCGTCTGGCAGCTGTTCTGCTTCCTCCCCTGGTGTGGGGGGTTTCACCGCTTCTTCCGGTTCGAGGTCTGGGAGGGGTTCCTCCTCTGAATTTGACCCTTGAGATCCGGGTCCGTCTGTATTCTTCCTCTCGCAATTTGTCGCTTGAGGCGGCGGTGATGTTGGGGCCACGACTTCAGGTGTAGGAGGATTCGTGGCTCGTGAGTCCGGTGTGGGCTGTTGGGGGGCTTGTTGCAATGGGGGCTCTTGCTGCTTTGCCCCCCTTGCTCTACCTCCCTCCTCCCCGCTCTTTTCTCCGACCCTTGCCATCGTCAGTTGAGGGAAATCCCTTCGGAAGTGTCCTCTTCTTTGCAAAGATTGCATCTGATGCAATCCTTGGCATAAAACAGTCAATGGGCAATGCCTCCATAGACAATCACAAAATAGCCCTCTTCCTGCTGTCCGGGTATCAGCAGGACGTGCACCTGCCTCCTGAAAGATAAAATGTGTTTCAGGGCAGGGTCTCTGCACCCCAGTGACAGGGCACGTACTGGCGACACGATGGTGCCCAGCGTTGACACGTGCTCTTACACGTGCTCCAACACGGCCTTGTCGGGGATGTAGGGCGGCACGTCCAAAACGACGATTCGTGCCGCCACTCAAGCGACGGGTTCCAGCCGGACGTGGAGTCCCCCCACGGTCATCTCCTTCTCGACAGCCGCATCGGCCACCTTCTTGTCTCTCTCACTGTCTCCCTGTCTCTCTCTCTCTCACTGTCTCCCTATCTCTCTCTGTCTCTCTGTCTCTCTCTCTGTCTCCCTGTCTCTCTCACTGTCTCCCTGTCTCTCTCTCTCACTGTCTCCCTGTCTATATCTCTCACTGTCTCCCTGTCTCTCTCACTGTCTCCCTGTCTCTCTCTCACTGTCTCCCTGTCTATATCTCTCACTGTCTCCCTGTCTCTCTCACTGTCTCCCTGTCTCTCTCTCTCTCTGTCTCCCTGTCTCTCTCTGTCTCCCTGTCTCTCTCACTGTCTCCCTGTCTCTCTTTCTCACTGTCTCCCTGTCTATATCTCTCACTGTCTCCCTGTCTCTCCCACTGTCTCCCTGTCTCTCTCTCACTGTCTCCCCATCTCTCTTTCTCTGTCTCCCTGTCTCTCTCTCTCTCTGTCTCTCTCACTGTCTCCCTGTCTCTCTCTGCCTCCCTGTCTCTCTCTGTCTCCCTGTCTCTCTCTCTCTCTGTCTCTCTGTCTCTCTCTCACTCACTGTCTCCCTGTCTCTCTCTCTGTCTCCCCGTCTCTCTTTCTCTGTCTCCCAGTCTCTCTCTCCCTGTCTCCCTGTCTATATCTCTCACTGTCTCCCTGTCTCTCTCACAGTCTCCCTGTCTCTCTCTCTCACTGTCTCCCTGTCTCTCTCTCATTGTCTCCCTGTCTCTCTCCCTGTCTCTCTCACTGTCTCCCTGTCTCTCTCCCTGTCTCTCTCTCTGTCTCCCTGTCTCTCTCACTGTCTCTGTCTCCCTGTCTTTCTCTCTTTCTCTGTCTCCCTGTCTCTCTCTCCCTCTCTGTCTCCCTGTCTCTCTCACTGTCTCCCTGTCTCTCTCTCACTGTTTCCCTGTCTCTCTCACTGTCTCCCTGTATCTCTCTGTCTCCATGTCTCTCTCTCTCTCACTGTCTCCCTGTCTCTCTCACTGTCTCCCTGTCTCTCTCACTGTCTCCCTCTCTCTCTCACTGTCTCCCTGTCTCTTTCACTGTCTCCCTGTCTCTCTCTCACTGTCTCTCTGTCTCCTGTCTCCCTGTCTCTGTCTCCCTGTCTCTCTCTCTCTCACTGTCTTTCTCTCTCTCACTGTCTCCCTGTCTCTCTCACTGTCTCCCTGTCTCTCTTACTGTCTCCCTGTCTCTCTCACTGTCTCCCTGTATCTCTCTGTCTCCCTGTCTCTCTCACTGTCTCCCTGTCTCTCTCTCACTGTCTCCCTGTCTCTCTCACTGTCTCCCTGTATCTCTCTGTCTCCCTGTCTCCCTCACTGTCTCCCTGTCTCTCTCTGTCTTCCTGTCTCTCTCACTGTCTCCCTGTCTCTCTCTCTGTCTCCCTGTCTC